TATCTAGGCCTGAAACGTCAGCTTTCCTGCTCCTCTGATGCTGCTTGGCCTGCTGTGTTCATCCAGCTCTACACCTTGTTATCTCAGATTCTCCAGCTCTGCAGTTCCTACTACCGCCAGAACATTATCTGGGCCTCTGGGATTAACAGTCCAGCGATAATACCACTAGGCCATCACCTCCCCATGTTATGACATACATTGTCCAGTGATAGCTTGTTGCTGGAGGATTAGCTTCTGCAAGGCACCTGAGTCTAACTTTCTGTCGGTTTATGTGCCAGTTGCCATCGTATCCAGTAATTCTCACTTCCGGGGGGTCTGAAGAAAAAAAGACCAAAAACACATACACAAAAAAATAAATCAGCCAACACTTTATCATCATTTTAGAATGGAGGGGAGGTCTGTCGTTCATGAAATGTCTGAACAAATGCAAGAAAATATAATTATCCAGGGCTGTAAATAGAACGTGTTGGCGCAGTTCTGTTTCCAAATGAATAGATCGGGCGTGTGGTGAAACGAATAATGTTTTGCACCTTGGGATCAGGAACATTCAGTTTCGAATCGCACTTCATCACAAACAGGCTGAATGTTAACACTGCAGCCTCTGCAATAACTCCAGGGTTACAATCAAGGAAGCAAGGAGGTGTACCCAAAATTTATCATGGAATATAAGACTGGGGTACTGACTCTGCATCTTACTTGCATTGTCTTGTATTAAACCCATGATTTAATTAACATTGCAAAATCTCCCTCACTCAGTCTCAATGATACTCAGTGCTGGAATGATGAATGTGCTCTTGAGCAGAGAGTTTGCAAAGATTGGCGATAGATGTACTGGCCTCCCAACAGCACCTTCCAGACCCACGAATATGTCCATCTTGAGGGACAGGGGCAGCAGGTACTTGGGAATACCACCCCCTGCAAGTTCCCACCCAAGCCACTCACTATCCCGACTTGGAAATATATCGGCCATTCCTTCCTGGATCAAAATCCTGGAATTCCCTCCTTGAGGGACATTGTGGGTCTACCCTACAGCACATGGACTGCAGCGGGTCAAGAAGGCAGCTCACCCCCACCTTCCCAAGGGGGCAACTAGGGACAGGGCAATAAATACAGGCAGAGACCACAAGTGAATGACAAGAGAAAGATGCCCCAATGCGCTTGTTGTCATGGCAACTCAAGGCCCAGTTCAGGCCAGGACGGACTTGGGAACTCCTCCTTGTCTTACCCATGTTGCTTTTGGTTGGAAAATTGAGAAGGAAATATCAATTTTTAACAAATTGCAAAGTTAATAAAGATAGGAATAACCAAATCTTTCTTTCTCTGGTACAAGTTCTTAAAATAATGTGCATAAATATAAGTTAGAAATATAAATTAATTCGGACACCTACTATTTTTGTTTTAGAGAAAATATATGGTTATGATATCTTTCAAAGAAACTAACAACAGTTTCGGAGATTTATCTTTTTCTCAATTGTTCATGCGATGTGGTCATCGCTGGCTGGACTCAGTATTTATTGCCTCCGTCCCTAGTTGCCCCCCTTGAGAAGGTGGGAGTGAGCTGCCTCCTTGAACCGCTGCAGTCCCCATGTGTTGTGGGTTGACCTACAATGCCCCTTAGGGAGGGAATTCCAGGATTCTGACCCAGAGACACTGAAGGAACGGTGATATATTTCCCAAGTCAGGATGGTGAGTGGCTCGGAGGGGAACTTGCAGGGGGTGGTGTTCCCATGTACCTACTGCCCCTTGTCCTTCTAGATGGAAGTGGTCGTGGGTTTGGAAGGTGCTGCCTGAGGATCTTTGGTGAATTTCTTCAGTGCATCTTGCGGATAGTACACACTGCTACTGCTGGAGGTCAGTCTGTCTGTTGCCAATCTTTGCAAATTCTCTTCTCTAGCGCAAATTAATTGTTCTGTCGTCGAGAATCATCGAGATTGACTGTGGAACACTTTAAGCTTATTTAATAAATCACTTGGATAGTACTAGATGTTGCAAGTAAGGGAGAAGACAATGCAATGACCATGCTGGGTCAATAGCCCTGCTTTTACATACTATGTATGTCTTCGCTCCCTTGAAATTTCCCAAGGACATCAGAAAGGAAGAATGAGGATGAAATGTAAATAGTGTTGGGGAAATCACATGATAGAAGTCAAAAATGTCGTCATTTTGTTCCATTCATTGTGATATAGTGCTGTGTAAATGCCTCAAGAATGTAGCTAATGTGTGAACCTTCTACTTTGTGATGATGTTGAATTCGAAGGGGATGGTATTGTCATGGTAACGCCAACTCGACTTGTAAAACCACAAGCCCACCTCACACCCTGTACACATGTATTCATGACCCACAATGGCAATTGGTGGAGTTAAAATCTGATAAAATACTTTTAAAACTAGATTGGCACAGCACAGAAGTGGCTAGGGTGGCACGGTGGCTCAGTGGTTGGCACTGACGTCTCACGGAACCAGGGACCCAGGGCAAGTCCAGCCTTGCGTGACTGTGTGGGTTTGCATGTTCTCCCCATGTTCCCCTCTGGTTTTCTCCCACAGTCCAATGATGCACAGGTTAGGGTGGAATGGCCGTGCTAAATTACCCATAGTGGCCAGGGATGTGCAGGTTAGGGTGGATTGGCTGTGCTAAATTACCCATAGTGCCCAGGGATGTGCAGGTTAGGGTGGATTGGCCATGCTAAATTACCCATAGTGCCCAGGGATGTGCAGGCTAGGTGGGTTAGCCATTTGAATTGCAGGGAAAGGGTAGGGGTGGGGGGGGATGCGGCAAGAGTTACAGACTCAGTGGGCCAAATGGCCTCTTCTGCACTGTAGGGACTCTAAGAGGCCCTTCGGCCCACGTTACTGCTCCAAAGGCAGGTTCATAACACTCGAGGCTATGGTCCAAGTGCTGGAAAGTGGGAACTCGTGTAGATTTTAGGGTAGCTTTCTTTGTCGGTGAAGACTCGATGGGCCGAAGTGCCTCCTCCGCACAGTAGGGATTCTGGGAGGCCGTTCGGCCCATTGAGTCTTCACCGGCAAAGAAAACCACCCTAAAATCTGCACGAGTTCCCACTTTCCAGCACTTGGGTCATAGCCTCGAGTGTTATGAACCCGCCTTTGGAGCAGTAATGCCAAAAAAACAAGCGTGCCAGGGCCCTGCCATCAATTGTGGTAAAATGCCCTTTTGGGAAGACAATCTACTGCTCTCACCTGGTCTGGCCTACAACATGGCTTCAGACCCACAATAAAACGATTGCTTCCTGACTGGTCCTCTGTGGACAAGCTGCTCAGTTAGAGGGTTATTAGCAATGGGCGACAACAGTTGGCCTTATCAGTGACTTCCACGTCTTATGAAAGAATTTCAAGAGATAAACAACACCCGTGTTTAACGTGGCCCCCTCCTGTAATACTTACATCGGACTGATAACGTCACAGGTAAGCTCAGTGGATCCACTAATGCATTGTGGGACACCGTACATGTCACATTCTGCCCATTGGCCTTCCTACTGGGCGCTATTCTGTACTGACTGAAGACAGTCACTGTCCCATCGGGATTTTCTCTCTGAGATGATGCCACCTTCCCCGGGAATGGCGCGATCCATGTGACATTGGCTGGAGGCTTCCCTTTGGCTGCGGTGCAATTGGCAACCGGTGCCTGGGCCAACCCAGTCTTTGTTGGCATGGCGATGACGCTACTGACGGGCCTGGCTGGGGGAGAGATGGGTCAGTAGGGTGAGCGCACGTTTTGGAGGTCGACGTACAATCTCGAAGAGTAATTTCGCAGCAAAACGCGACTTAAAAATACGAACTAGGAGCAGGCCATTCAGCCCTTTGAGCCTGCTCTGCTATTCAACATGATCGTGGCTGATCATCTTTTTCGGTCCCCTGTTCAAAAACAGGAGTTGCTGGAAAAGCTCAGCAGGTCTGGCAGCATCTGTGAAGAAGAAAACAAAAAATCAGAGTTAACGTTTCGGGTCTGGTGACCCTTCCTCAGAACTTCAGTTCTGATTTACAGCACCCGCAGTTCTTTCAGTTTTTATTCAGTCCACTGTTCCCTCTTTCTCCCCCCATACCCTTTGATCCCTTTAGTCATGAGAATGTTATCTATCTCCTTCTTCAAAACATTCATTGTTTTGACCTCAACCACTTTCTGTAGAAGAGAATTCCACAGGCTCCCCCACTCTCTGGGTGAAGATATTTCTCCTCATCTCAGTCCTAAATTGCTCCTCAGACTGTGTGTTCCATAATAAGATGAGGCCTTAAGATAGAGGATCAGAGGTAGGCCAATCAGTTAATTGAGTGTGCCCTAGTATTTGATAGATCATGGCTAATCTGATCATCCTCAACTCCACTCTCCTGCCTTTTCCCCATAACCCTTGATTCCCCTTCCTGATTAAACATATTTTCTCAGCCTTGAGTATTCTTAATGACCCAGCTTCGACAGCCATCTGCGGTAAAGAACTTCACAGCAACTCAAGACTTAAAAATATTCAAGAGATAACAAGGTGTGGAGCTGGATGAACACAGCAGGCCAAGCAGCATCAGAGGAGCAGGAA